AAGACAGACAAGCAACAGTTTGTGAATAGGAAAAGAGGAAAAAAAGATAGAAAGTAGTTGATTGAGAACACAAAGACGGTGTGTGCATAATCAATCAAGTGCGTGCGTGCGTGCATGTGTTAACTATAATAAGAATTTATCTCCTCTTCGCTTATTCTCTCTCGTTCCTTTTGTTATTGTTGTTGTCAATGTCTACTCATAGGTTTAATTTAGAAACCGAGACAGATAAAGCATATATATAGTTGTTGGTAAGTGATTAAAAAAACAAGAAGAAGAAAAAAAAATAACTAACAAGTACTTATTCAACATTTTTAAGGTATGTATATGTATGTATGTATGCATGTATGTTCATTCCAAATATTATAATAAGAAAGAGAAAAAAAAAAGGTTTTCAAATAATCATTTAATGTATGTTTGTGGGTGGGTATATAGTCGATGAGTATGAAGCCTACAAAATGAGTGAGAATGAAAAGAAAAGAATAACAATGAATAGAAATAGACGAAGCCTTATATTTAATTGTCATTAGTATAATCTAAATGTTATTAACAACAAAATAAGATAATAGAAAGTAAGAATATCTTTTCTTTTTAGTTAAAATAAACGAAATTTTTTTGTTTTTTAATATTCCTATTTTTATATACCACTTAAACAATTGAAAAACATCGAGATTTATTAATTTTTAAAATACATGTAAAAGAAAAAAATTAGAATCTATTTATTATATAGAGTAAATCATATTTGAACAGGAAGAAGAAGAGAAGAAAAAAATGAGATCTATATAACATTTTTTTTTCTTCTTCTCTGTTGTATTTCTTGTGAGACTATCGATATAATCGATTGATTGATGAAAGAAGAAAAGAGAAAAAAAAAATGACGAGAAAAAGCAAGAGAGAAGAAAGTTTTCTTTTTGCTTTCTATTACTGTAAAATTATCTTGGAAAGACAGAATGAAAAGAAGAGTAATGACGCACATCGATTACAACTACCGTCAATCGTTGGTTTGTTTTGTGTTCTATGTATACTAAAGAACAGCATTCTCTTTTACTCATATCTATGTAGGAAAAAAAGAAAAAAAAAAGAAATTACAATGCGCAGTAGTTTTGACATGAATGAATAGATGATGTAAGAATAAATGAATCAACGACACAATAATGACACATATAATATAAATAAACTTTGTCGTTCTATTTTGTTTCAGATAAATAATAATAATAATAATAATGGATGATCTATTTTATTGTATTCGTGTAATGCAAATTTCAACCGATAAATTACAATTAACACGTAATTCTGAAAGTCTTCGTCGTTCATCACTTATACGTTCAACATTTTTACAATCACGTAAACATTTTTGTGATTTAGTTCATTCACTTATTAAAATACCTTCAACAGCTAATACACTTACACCGGTTATTATACAAAATGTAGAAAATCGTACAAAAACTCTACCATATCAACGAACAATAATATCACAAAAACGTAAATCATGTCATGTTGATGCTGTTAAACGAGTACGTCTGACATCATCATCATCGAATGTTTCAAATTAAATGATATCAGATTGAAAATAAACCTAGAACAAGTCATATTCCATTTATGTGTTTATTCTATTGTTGTTTTTTTTTAATACAAAATAGGAAACAGAAAAATCAGTTATCTTCTATATATATATAGAATCATTCTAGGAAAGCACAATGAAACAAATCGAAAAAATTGTAAATGATTCTGTTTTGTCAATTCCAATTACTGTTCCAAAAATTCAAATAATCGACTAATCCATTAATCCATCGATTATAGCCATTTGAGATTAATATTTTATAGTCTTGATCGATTCGTCATCTTGACTAGAGTGTCGATAATAACATTCAGAATTCATACATATATATATATATAACTAGTATATCTTCAATGTGTCGTAGATGATCTTCGCTTCATATCACTAATGGATTACTATATTGACAATGCTTATCTATTCAGTTGATTGCTTATCGGACTTGATTTTATTGAATGAATAATTGTCAAACAAGTAAGAAATATATGTAATCATGTCTATAAAAAATGATAATAAAATACTACATATAATTATATGTATATATTTGATCAACAATATTTTATTTATATATTTTGATTAAATTCTCTTCATTCTTATCTTAATCAAATATTATTTTCAAATACTTTTTAAATATGAATATATACATATATATATGTGAAATAATGTTAGACATGTATTATAATAACATATTTCTCATTAATTGTGAAGATCAACGAGTATTATTTTGTTGAATAAACATAAGATAGGAATCTATAGTTTACAATGTAAATAAACATTCTAACAATGAAAACCACATGTAGATCTCTGTGTGTTTTCTCCAGTATATATATAACATAGAAAACAAAAATTACTCATATGAAAGAAATTATAATAAGAAGAATATCAATTCTAGAACAACATATATTAAAACCTTTTTTCTCGAGTGTAAAGTATCTCTACTGTTCACAATTATAATTAGAAAACAAAAACAAAAAAAAAAAGAAAAACAGGGCGTATATTAGACAGAACACCGGACATTTGTAAAAACAAAATGGATAAGGTATAGATTTTGGATGGATGATAACAACAAGAAATGTTGTCACTGTACATAATCGAAAAAAGAAAAAGACAAAGAAAAAGAATTTAAAATTATGGCTTTACAAGCGTCTTGTTCATTGGTAAGTTAACGAGATTTTGTCAATGATCATTATAACAAAAACAAATAAATATAATTCAATTTTATATGTTAATAATGAAGAATGATTTATATTTTGATCATCAGGAATTTCTGTTGTTTGATCTAAAATTAAGAATAAATTAAAAATATTATTAAGATTTATTTCTATTACGAGATGTTTGTTCATCAATGGCTTTATAAATTTGTTCACTAAGTGGTTCATCTTCATCATTTTCATATGTTTCTACTGATGGTGATCGTGATTCAGTATCATTGTCGTCTATGTCAGTATTATCATCATATTCAAACTCTGGAACATAATCCATAAGACCATATTTTCTCTTTGGTTTAAGTGACATAATTATATCTTGTATAGGTATCATCCTTTTTTTTAAATCAGCAAGTTGATTTTGTGTTGATTCATTATTTATATTTGATGTTATTTTTGTCTGTAATTCAGATACTGGAAGTGGCCATTGACTGAAATCTCTATATAAATAGAACATTTATTGTCTACTCTAGTTCAATATTACATAAATAAACTGAAAAAAAACATTTTTCGTTTTAAATACGGTTATGTCAATATAATATAATTTATATTAATATATTTAGTAATCAAAGTAATGTTTTAAATTATAATATAATATATGCTTTATTTTAGATTGATAATTTTTTATCTTGACATGCATGTCAAAATCAATGTGACTTTTGATATTTTTTTAAAGATAAAATTCATAATAAACTTTCTGATTTATTTTTAACAGAGGAATATAATATTTCAGTAAGTAGAAGATAAATATACCTTTATACAGGGGGATTTAACATGTTGATATTTGAATTTGACTACGCTTATTTTCTATGTACTTTATCATATGAAATTTCTCTGTATGTATGACGATTATTTTTTTCATTCGATTCAAAAGCTAAGGAAAAATATAGAAATGTATTTATCAATTTAATTATATATGTTATGTTTTGAATATGTATGTGTGTGCGAAAGAAAAAATATTTCGTTCCATACTACATGTAGGTTTTTGTTTGCAATTTAATCTGTAATTTGATATGTTATTCATGCAATGAATGATGAAAATAAAACATCGTAAATAACATATTTTCTCTTCAATAATCTTTCTTATTTTAATGTACTAATTCTTATGCGTATGATTACTGTCTTGTTAAAAAAAAAAAGAAGAAGACTAAACTTACCCAGGCGTATGTTGATCAATTTGCGTACAGCGATTCGATTTGACAGCATAATTTGAATTCGAACAAATATTAGTGATTATATGTTGCATAAGGGTACTATTGAGATTGTTAATTGATGTTTGAAGTTGATTGAGCATTGAATGTAATGATTCATTCCATTTTGTAACAAGTTCACGTCGTTCACTTATTATTGGAGGTAGAGAAAGAATAGGACTATAAGGTTTTTCTTTTGGATTTGAACATGTATTCTGTAATTGTGTATAAGTTAGTCGATTATTTGTTGCATTAATAACCATATCATATAAATAAATATGTAATTTCGAAAGACGTTCAACAAGCTAAACAAGAAGATTCACATTTTGCAATTTCATAATAAATGTTACCTTGAGTTCAATAACTGATTCTTGAATTTGTTTTATAACATTTGAATAACCTTGAGCAACCACAGCAAAAGTTACATACGGATTATTCGTTTGATCGAAACATGTTTTTATAACATAATGACAATCATTTTCACATAACGGTTCATTTATATTGTTATCATAATGTATAGATGACATGGATGTTGATGACATATTAACACATATTGGACATAATGTTTCTCGTACATATCGTTGTAAACATTGATGTGAATTAAGTGTTGCTGTTGTTTGTAAACGTTGAATATCAGCAGCAATATAAATAAATAACGTCCGAAGTATATCTAATAATGAAGCAGCACTTGTTAATGTATAAAGTAATTCACGTTGTGTAGGTAATGCTTCAATAGAAAATGCTGTCGTTATTAAACATTTTTTTAAATGTTCATCAAATATAATTTCATTATCATATGTCATAAATCGACGATAAGATGAAAGAATAAGTTGATTAAATAAATTTATAGTTGATTTTGATACATCATCACCAGTTGATTGATGATTACCAAGAATATTAAATAATGTTGTTAATGTATGATGAATATTTGTATGATATTCTATTTCACCAAATAAAGTTTCTAAAGATAATATTGTTAAACGATGGGATTCTTTTAGATATTCTTTTGTCCAAACTAAAAACAAAATAAGTTTTTTTCTCTCGCTCTATTGATAAATGAATTACTTACTGCCAATTTTTCTATTTGATTCTGACAATAATTTTGGTAATTGACTTAATTTATCATCGAATAAAATCTTTAGGTCATTACTAAGTGACAAAGCATAAGAATTAAATATTTCATTCGTACAACATGCTGGACCAGATCCCATCTGACCACAAGCATCTTTTTGTACTAGAAAAAAGAAAAACAAATAGGATATGAAATCATAGAAAAAATCTTTTCATGGACATTTTATTAATGGTACATAGGTTTTTTTTCTTCTAAAACTTCAGACGAAGATTTTCAAAGGATTCAATATGAGTAAAAGTAAATAATTTTTATTTCAGTTTATTCTATTAATAATATACTTCAGATAAATAATTGCTTTCCTGTTTATTAGCGTTAGTCTTATTGAATAGTATAAAAACGTTGACAAAAAAAAACTCAATAAAATGTTGTAATTAGATCTCTATTAAATTGCTACAAAATATCTTTTTTGCCTTTTCTTTCTACGTTTTTTTTTATTATATAGATTAAAAACATTACAATACGTGCATAGAATAGAAATAAAAAGAAAGTATAGGGTTGTTTTCGTGTGGAGAGATCTATTTATAGGTTGAACTAGTTTTGTCTATAAAAAAACTTTTAATCATTATTTTTTTTTGTCTTTCCTATTGAGGTTTCTTTAAATAAGAGTTGAACAGTAAGTTTTTATTCTATGGCTGCCAATATTAGAGTAAACATTGATTAGGTTTCCTTTCTAAATTGAATCACTATTATTAACTGTAGTGGACAGAAGCTTAATACATATATTTTTCTTTCGATGTTACTTATTTGTCCTTCGAGAAATGACTTTTTTTTTTGTCTTCATCTGATAAAAAATTTTTCAATAACGGAAAAAAAATGTTCACCTTTATATTGTGTACTTGCAAGTTTTTCAGTCCATTTTATGTATGGCTCTAGGCGTTTGTTAATCGGAGTGCATGGATGTCGATGAGCAAGATTTTCACGATTATTATAAGTAGTTGCGTTTATTAAATGAATAAAATATAAAATTATTAAAATATTTTTCCATAGAAAATATTTAATAAGCATATTTGTTTGGAAGAAATTCAATTGTCAAAATCCAATATATTAAAATATCGATTTTATTGATCATTTGTGGCCATCTTAATTATTATATATATAAATATCTATGACAATAAAGAAAAATATAATCATAAAAAATATTAGATATAAAAATCAATCAACGAACAAGTTATTTTTGTTCGAAACTATTCTAAATGTCTATGTACACGAGTCGTTTTTCCTATATTACAACCTTCATTTATTTACGTCTTTTTTTCTCTTTTTTTTTTCTTCTTTTCTTTCTTTCCTCTTTTCTTTCTCCCTCTCTCTCTCTCCTTTTTTTTGCAGCTCAGTTTTTTTGTTTATATTGATCAATCTAATCTTCTATTAACTTCCTTTTTATTTGACGGTAAAAAGATAAAGATGTCAAAAAGAAGCAACGTAATGTGATCTGTCGATGAGTACCGATACTTATATCTATCTATTCAATTTCCACACTTCTATGTGTAACGACAAAAATAGCGGAAAACTAATTTTCGCTTGTTTTTGAAATTGATCGATTGATGATAATGAAAAACAAAACATATATGTCAGAGAGTAAATTGAAACGAGAGAATATATCATTATTACAAGTTGTATATTGTTGATCTCTTTATAACATATGTTAGTTACTCGGACATATATATACACTAACATAGTTACATATACATCATGGTTCACTTCTCACAAACATATGTGCCATGAAATGTAGATTGGTAGTATTGAAGAAAGAGAACGAGAGCAAAAGACACGATTTTGTTCGGCGGTTTTTCGCATCTCTATCTGTTTCCTTTCTTTATATTTCTGGCATCATCTGCTTTCTTCCTTCTCATCATTGTTGTTGTAAAGTACACACATTCACACAATTACACTATTACATATAGACGTTTACTCATTTCTCTCTCTATATATATACCTTCCGGATTAACAGTAGCTTCGTTTCTTTAATAACCACGCAAGATATAATGTTTTACAATCCATCAAACATACCCATATGTGTATCTCTCGCTTCTCTTTCTGTATGATTATTTTTGATCTTCAAGGACATAAGTCACAGTGTGCACGGTCGTTGAAGAAAAATGTGAAGGCTAAGATTTGTCTCTCTATTTACAGCATATATAAACAGTAAACAATAAAAGAACTATAGCATCCCGCGTACTTGTCCAAGTATTGATGAAATTATGGGAGAAAAGAGAAAGAGAAAGAGAAAGAGAGAGCATGAGAAAGAGGACTTGTCATATAGACACTTAGACAACAGTGAAAACATCTATTTGCACGTGATGATATTGTCATCGATGATTTGAAGCTGCAGTTACTGTTGTTTTATAGATGATGATGATGATGCTGATAATAATGATGCGAACAAACGACAAGAAAATCGGTCGCATTTAGCGTTATATATATATTCATAAGATCTTTATGTATTATCATGTTGAAACATTATTATAGATTAATATAAAGAACGAAAGAAAAAAGACGAGAATACTCAAAAACAAAACAACAGCAAATAATAAAACTACTCTGTATTTTTTTTTTCATCAGCTGTTAAAATAAGTTGACTTAAGAAGACTATTTTATATAGACAACATCATATAAAATACTTTCCTTTTCTTTTGTCAGTTGCAATCTAACAAGCTATATACGATATAGAGAAGATAACGAAAGGCAAACTAAAACAATGACATCCATATCAGATGATAGGGTCTGTAAAACATTTTTATCAACTGAATAACAATATATAATCTCTATATTCGAAAACAACATACATCTTACCTGTATATATATATATATGCAATCGTTGTATGAGATATTTAAGTAAGATAATATGATTAAATCTAGGATGTGCGGTTTGGAAGCAATCGTTTTTTTTTTGTAAATATATAATTTTAATTTTTGTCTATCTTTTTCGAATAATCAGGCAGCTGGTACCAAAATGACTAAATCAAACCATACATTTTGTTATTTTTTGTCTATAAATATAATCATAGGTTACTTATAGTTTATTGATTTCGTCTATATTCTTTTGTCTTCAGAAAAAAAAAATTACAAATGGTTCCCTAGAGATAATATTAATAACATTTTTTTTCTTTTTCAATATCTTTGTGGTTTGGAAAAGTACCTTTTCTCTTACTTAGATGACACTATGAAAACAATGAGACATGCATCTATATGTGTGCGTCTAACAATGAAAAGAAAAGACGAGAAATAGAAGGAGTGAGCGTGACTAACTAAATGGGGAAAAAAAAGAAGCAGAAAAAGTTCTAGACAAGTTTTTCAGTCTGCGGTTTTTTCTTTCTTTTTCTTTTTCCTCCATCGTCTTTTTCTCTCTTCAATAATACGATCGTAAATAATAAAAATAAGAGGCAACACGAATACATAAGAATAACATCAAGCAAAATAAATAAATGAACGAATCGATCGATGGATGGTAAAATAGCAATTCTTGTTTTGAAGAATAGTGCTATAGGCTGTAAAGATATCATCAGAGAAAAAAAGTGAAATGTGATCATCGTCTGTATGCCAGAGAAGTAGGACATAAAGCAACATGTTGTGTTGATTAGATATCGATGACGAGGAAAAAAAGAACACATACGGAAAGTTGACAATCAGTGTGATGAGACTGTCTGTACATCTGTATGTATAGAAAGAGAGTTGACAGAATGATTTATTGACACAAGCTTGCGCATCTGCTCTTTTAGACATATATATGATGATGATCACAACAGCAGGTGACAATTGCTGTTGTGTACAACATTCATGAATTATTTTGTTGTATAAAGACGTTTTTTAGACGAACAAACGAACGAAAGAACGAGCGCAGTCGATCGGCAAACTGATGAAGTGTCATATAGAAAGAGCACAGATACATTGATGTAGTCGTCTTGTCTTTCTCTTTTCTCTTAACATATAAATAGTTGGTACACTATATATATATATAACTATTTGTATATTCCCAGCTGAACAACCAGACAATGAGATGATAGGTCATTGTATGTTTATCCATATTTTGAATAAATACTATGCGCTTATTGTTATTATAGGAATTGGCTTATAGTTTAGGTGGGTAGATTATACGTTCTTCTTGATTAAGAAAATAATTTAAGTTCCTTCATTCTACATTCTTTTATAATACAAACAAAGTTATATTCGTGTAAGAATGTAACTTAATTTCTTTTATTATTTTATATATGTATAAAATAATATAATATTATCCAATATATATATATATTCATTTATTGTATTCACTATAAATAACCTTAGATCACATTGAGATCTATCGACCTTTCTCACAAGCATCTTTGTCTTTTATTCATATATATTTGATTGAGCTATGATAACCTTGAATATATGCACACATATACATACATACATACATGCACATATATATGTAATCGGTTATGAGTATAATGATAGAAATTAACAATAGTATAAATCATACAGCTACAAAAGAAGAACCTCGGTCACGATACATTAGAATCATCAATTTGTACATTGTAAATTGTTTGTAATGAGCTATACATTTCTGTTTTATATTAGATAGTGTTAGATGACAAATCGAGAGTGACATTGATGTGAACAGTGCCAGGTCGATAGATCCTCATCAACATCTTCTGTTCTCATTCTATGTATGTTGTCGATGTCGATTAACACTAGCTATCCATCATAAAGAAAGAGTATGAAAGGGATACATTATGAATATAAGTAATAAAGCGAAGAGAGATTCACGAACAGCAATATTCAATTTATGACAAATGGTTATGTCGTCTCACGGTCAACTTATACATAAACAAAACCCAAATGAAAATTGATTTGTAATAAATGAGAATATTTAATATACAATGTCTCTTAGGTATTGTACTCGTGTTCTATTGATGCTGCATTTAAGATTGATTATGAATGTAAATGAGGTGAAGATGACCGATGATAATCCTAATGTGTTATTATTGTAATCTTAACAGATGAATTCCATTAGAACTTATGTATTAATACCTAGAGTTTATTCTTATATCATAAATGAAAATGTTAAGATATTCAATATTTATTCTTTGTATTAACCAAACTGTAAAAATGAAAACAGATACTAAATTTATTTTCTAATGAGTTTTATGTTGAATAATAGAACATGTATTTAATCTAGTCGAGCTTCAATACAATTTCCTTGATTTAAAGCTTACGCAAGCATAATTCCATCATATGTAATATCAGTAAATCTATTTCTTTTTTGAATAGTTAAATAAATCATTAAACATTAATAAATTTAATGAGAAATTTAATATATTAATTTTTTGTAATAAACATTTTATATTCAATACAATTAGATTTAATTATTATTGATTGTTGTAGCTATTTTTGTCCCTGATAATTTCTCTTGGGGCTGTTTATGACTTATTAAATGATAAAAAAATCTTCTTAATTCTCGTCGAAATAAATTTGAGTTTAATGTAAATTGTATGTATAAGAAAATTATAAAGTACAGTTTGATATGTATCCAAAGTTTTTATCATCGCTTGTGGTATTGTTGTACATGTAAATAGTATAAATTAAAAAATAAACTTCTATCACGTTTTGTTCTAGGTATTGTCGTCTCCCTTGATTATTGACCGTTAATACAACAAATATTAGCATTAATAATGCAGGAATAATAATATAAACCCCTGAATAAATACAATCATTGATAATTTGAGATATTCTTGTTGACGCTTCACATTGTGTGTCTTATCATTATAATACTCATATATCGAACTATATGAATATGACAGAATTATCTACGATTAACATCCGGTGAACTTGATATTAATCGATCTAATGAAGCAAGAACCATACACCATGCAGAAAGTAATAGAATATATTCACGAAATTTATAGAAACTTGTATTTGCTGTTGTTGTTGGATCAATATTAAATCCATCAGCTAAAGAACAAATATTTTTCTTGTGAGTACTATTCTATTTAAAGTTACACTTATAATACACCTAGACAATAACGAGA